AACACAGTACACTTATAAACCAAAAAAAAAAAAAAAAACAGCTGATTTATTTGGATACATCAGCCAGCTGATATTTTGGCCTGATATTAGTATTTATTTATTTATTTATTTATTTATTATCGACTGACTGACCTGGTTTGACACTTTGTTTGATAATAATGGTTTCCTTTTGTGATTCATGTAACATTTGTTATCATTGTGGCATTTTTTATGTAAATGACAGAAGAAAAAGCAATAAACCCATACCAAGTATCTGTTAGACTAAACAGTATCAACATTGATCTGAAAAAACCTGTTATCTGTCTATCTCTTCTTCTTAGGTAAAGTATGTAAAAACGCTTATAATGAATATACTTAGGATTTCAAAAGTATAGATACTAGGGCTGAAACAATTAATCGGTTAATCGTGATTAATCGATTATTGAAATAATCATCAACTAATTTAGTAATCGATTAATTGTTAAAAGGCATATAGAGACTGTTCAACATGCCTTTGGTTGACAGAGCAAACCATTTAGAACAGTAACTATATCAAACTTGTAAAAAATTGTATAAATATTTCGCATTTATGATAAAAAAATAAAACCTTTTTCATCTGCCAATATGCTCTATCCAGAACTCCTCAAGTGGAATAGTTCTAGTTCCACCTGGTTTAATTTTATAAAATATCTTCTTTAAGGAACCTTTGGCTATCCAATTATCAATCGATTAATCTAAAAAATAATCGACAGATTAATCTATTTTCAAAATAATTCTCATTTGCAGCCCTAATTGATACTGAGACATCGTATCCAGATACAATTCTAATTTGGCATGATATCAATACTAAATAAAGCTCTTGTTTGCATAGTTTTGCTGTTGTTAAGTCTAATGATGATTAGACTAATACATCAAACAACCTTAAAATCCTGTTATATTTTCACACTTATTTATGTAATAGAATATTAATAATGTCCAGGTACCTTTAATTATCATCACAATAAATATCAGAGATTATGATATTTAAATGTTATGATCACAATATATGCTAAAAGAAATACAAATGACAGCTTAGATTCAATATTTAGTAGGGTTTGTTCCTGTAAGGAGGCTTTACACCTGTCTATTGTATCTGGATAGGAAAGGACAGCTTTCCTGCCATTGATCTTTATACCCGAAATGGATTTAATGACCAACAGAAATATTGTGATCGGGGGTAATATATAAGAGCAGCAAAAGAGTGGCTTAATTGCAATCAAGAGTCATTGCAATTATAAAACAATCATACTGTGACTGGATTTTTTTTCTTAAAATCAAGCAACCATCCAAAAAAATAAAAAAATAAAAACTGTGATGATATATATTATTTAAAATGCCACCATGTTAGATGTCTTATTCTGCCAGAGAAGTTGACATCAGTCTAGACTCTAAACTGAGTGTTTTAGCAGGATAGCGAGGATAAACTTATGGCAAAATCAACACCAAAATGCTACAAAGATTGTTAGATTACATTTTCCCACTTTAAGAGACCTTACCTTCGGGTAAATGGAGTCCTGGGAAGCTCTGTGTTCAGAATTTGGTTGATTAGGACCCGAGCAGACAAGTCCTCCGTAAAATCCATTAGCTCGCCAAGCTAAAACCAGCTAACAGACCTTGAAACTTTTACTTTTATAAAAAATAACTGAAGTCACAGAAAATATGTCAGACCACGACTAAGGTTTGCCAACTAAAGAGAACCAGACACGGTATAAAGCTATTTTAGCTAATGTTATAAGTAAATAACCATTGCGACATTTCTGCTGAATGCAAACTGTTTACGTTTTAACCGACTGTCCCGCGTTATTTTTGAGTGAAATCACGCGAGAAGATCGTTCTTCTTCTCCTTCTCAAATTTAAGTAACGGTTGGGGGAGGAAAAAAACGTTCACAACACCACCACCTAGTGGTATGGAGAGTGTGGCTCAAAATGTCTAAGTAAATCTCATATCTTCTACATATTTTCTATTTTTCTTTCATATTTTTCATAATATTTTCAGATTCTTATATTATGTTTCTGTATTGCGAATAATGAACTGTTAAATGCAATATGCTGTTATGTGCTGGAGCCCAAATAAATATAATTATTAATCTCATCATCTGTATCCTAAATAATTATTGTTTTATTTCTAATAAAAAACGTCTAGTCTACAAAATTTTCTTGTCTCATTTTTCTCTTTACCCCAGTAATTCTAGAGTTTTTTTCCTGTTGTATGATTTCACTTTTTTTTTTTTGTAGAAATAAAGAAAGTATTTTTAGATAAATTCCTGCTCCTGGATTTTTACGATTTTTGATTAAAAATAATAATAAAAGACTTAATTTCAGATGTAAAAGGACATAATCTGAGTTTTAAGAGCGGCATTTAATAAGAACTGCTACCCCTTTTATTTCACTCACAGCCGTTAACTCCTGCTCAGATAGCCTTCAGGTGGATATTTATTTAGTTTGGCCATTTATAGGTGATTTATTTAGTTTTTTATTTATTTGTGATATCAAGCAGATCAAAAAATGTTGAGCAAGGTCCTGCTTAAAATAAACATTGAGTTAAAACTTTAGTTTGCTTATCGTCGTAGAGTTTAGAGTTGAAGATGCCTTCATACACCTGCTTCTACAAACCCACTGTCATTTAGACAAGGCAGACAGCGCTGTTAGAATCATGTTATTTGCTTTCTCCAATGCATTTAACACAATTCAACCTGCTTTACTTTGTGAGAAACTCTGGCAGACTCAGGTAGAGGCATCAGCAATCTCTTGGATCAAAGACTACCTGAAAAACAGACCAGAATTTGTTAGACTGAAGGGTCAGCCGTCAAATCAAGTAGTCAGCAGCACAGGAGCAGCACAGGGGACGATACTTTTGACACTAATCTTTAGTCTGTACACCTCTAAAGTTCACTGCAGCAGATTCCTGTCATGTCATGAAATACTTGGATGACTGCAGTTGTTGGGTGCATCACAGATGAATAAGAAGCTGAGTACAGGGAGCCGGTGGACCCCTTTGTGAAACGGTGTAGAAACTAACTGTGACCAAAGAAAGGAGATGATTGTAGATTTCAGAAGAATCAGGAACAAGTCAAACCCTAATACAATCAAGGGAGAAGTGGAGGTGGTGGAGGAGCATAAATCCTTGGTGTTTATCTGTGCAACAAAAGGAAGCTGATGTTTGCAGCGAGTTGCTTCAAACACTAACTTCCCTTTGGAATCAATAAAGAATTTTTGAATTGAATTTTCCGATGCTTAATGTTTGTACGTTGTGGAACAAAAAGTCAAAGTCGCTGGAGTCTCCTCCAAGCAGGACATGTCTATAAAAGGTAAGAAAACCTTCCCCTGTGTAACGATCATTCTTTAACCTATTTTTCATATTGTGTCAAACAGAGGGTGAATATTATTTGAGGTCCTGTGCAGCCTCATGCAGAGAATGTCTGCCTGATACGACAGAAGCTGATTCTAGAGACAATTCTCTATTTCTTCTAATCTTCCAGATCTTTATTTATAAAAGACACAGTGAATGATATTGATATTGAATGAACAGTATTCTGTTCTGCAAACCCCAGATAGAAGATGATTGTCCGTCTCATGATTTTTCTTAAAACAGTGAAGTCTTTCCCCACTTTGGAGTGATAGTAATTCTCTTAACTGTTTTGATAATTAAAAACAACCCGGAATAGTATTTATATGCTTGTGATTAATCAGAGTTTGAATTTAAAGTATTAAAGTAACCTCTGTGGCTCCTACTGTACTGGCAGCTCTTTGGTGAAGTAGCCTAAACTGCTGAAATGTAAATATTAGTATGAAAGCAGAGGCAGTGACAGTCCGACTTGTTGGAGAAACCGCTCCAGAAATGAAATTCACGGAGTACAGATCAAAGGATTTCACGTTTTTCAAAGAATTACTTTTGTCTTTTTAGCCTTAAATGGTTGGAATTACATCTTGTAAAGAAAAGAAATGAAAAATCAATATAACCAATCTGAAGGTTTCAGATGCCTGATTATCTCACTGTGCTCTTGAAACATTTTCCTCATAGTATTACATTTATTCATCATATAACTGTTAACTTTTTAAATCAGATTAAAAAAAAAGTTTTTTTTTAAATAATTTTTAATGTTTGACATCTTTTATAGATTTTGCTGTTATTTTTCTCACTCTTTGGTCTTTTTCTATTTTTTTTTTTTTATTAAATTCTAAATGTTATTATTAAGAAAAATATTCCAGACATGCTGACAGTTAAATATCATTAAACCAGTAAATAATTGTTTTTAAGCTTTTTTTTCCCACCAACCCTAAGGCAGCAGCTTTTTCTTAAAGATAGTATATAAACATACGGTAATGTGTTTTTTAATATAAAAAGCCATTTCAGATTGACACTTAGGCACTGCTAAGTGATTAAGTATTTATTCCTGATGCAGTATTTACCCAAATACAATGTGTTTAAAAAGCAAACAGATTCCAAAGCATTCAAGTTTTTTTTAAAGGGTTAGACTCATGATGGATGTCAGCATAGATGGCAGTGGAACTAAAACACAATATAACCCCACTAATTATCAGCTTCAGCTTGTAAATCAAGATTAGATTCCTGCATGATTTATATTTCTATCTGATTTGTTTCTGTGCACATTTGCTGCTTATAGACTCAGCAAAAGCTGTTTGCTTTGCTGTACGCTTGCTTCATCCCAGTTAATAATGAAAATGCATTATTTAAAACGTAATGGTGATTAGGTGTGTCTTAGATCCATGCTGGGTATTGCAAACTGGGAGGATTGGTTACATAAGGTCTGCCTTGCAATAATTTTCAATAGAAGGTGGCATACTTTTTGATAGGGTAATATGGTACATTGCCCATACTGCTACTGTTCAATCCAAAACAACATGAGCTTATTTTCTGTAGTAGAGAGATTAAAGCTGAAGTGAAAGGATGTTTGAATGTAAAGGTTCGGCAGCTGTTGTGATTATTCTTCGATTACATACAAAAATATTCTCTGAGGACAAAAGTTTTAAGAGTTTTAATAATTTACAACACATAAAAGTAAAATAAAAAGAAGAATTCACCAATGAATTCTATAGGTTTATGATCCCTTCCCCCTTTCCTGCTGATAATTAACTGTTAAATGACCAAAATTCAAACTGAACTGGGTCTTTTAAGGGTCTGCGATTGGACAGAAAGTGCATGATCTCCGGACACAGCTGTGAGGACTCCCATCTTAGAAATCTGGTCCTTCCTTCTTCAGTTTGGAGTAATCCATGTTGACTTTGAAAAACTGAAAAAAATGAACACAGGGCAAGAAAAAGGGGGAGAAATACACACGATCAGGGTGAGGAAGGCAATGTGGACTTTGATGCTTGATAAGAGCAAAGTCACAGCTGGTGTTTTAAGCTGCATTAAAGATGTAATAATGATTAACCCTTTATGGGTTTGTATGCATGCTGCAGCTCTTACTTTGTACTGCTGATTAGGCTCCAGCTTGTTCCAGGGTTCGGGATTATTTTTACGATCCCAACTGAGGATGACATATTGTAGAGATTAATATATGCTGATTAAAGGGAAAAAGGAAAAAAAAAAAACAAGATGTGAGCTTCAGTCTTGCTCTCAGATACTTACCAGACGTCGGGATTTTTAATAGCCAGTCTGGCCAAGTACAGCATGCTCATCGTGGCCCCACCACCGATGAAGATGAAGAGGGGGATCAACTGGAAGCCAGAAGGAGACATGGTATTAAAACAAAGCAAATAATGTTCATACACTTAATAACAATTACTAACTCTGACTTTGAAAAATGGATAATAAAACAGTTGCTGGGAAATAAATCAATGACGTTTCATATATACAGTGGTTTTCAGTCAAACACCAGCTTTAAATTACGTTAAAAATATAATAAAGTGATGAATAATTGTTTAAACTTTAATATTGCTTAGACTGTACAATTAATAATAAAACATTATATCAGTTTACTGCCTTCAGTACTTATTGCATTTTTAGATTATAATCTATAGAACTCACCTATATCAGTCCGCCCTTATGCAGAATAATAAAATCCCAGATCATAATACTGCTCCTACCATGTTTCATTGTGAAAAGGTTTATTTATTCCAATAAATATTTCTACTCCATAATAGTTATAATAGCTACTGGATGTTTTCACTAACAGGAAAAACAAACCCAAACATTTTTAATCAGAGATTGGGTTTTCCATTATCGGAGGCACATTTTCCACCCCAACAATTGATCTATTTCATGATAGGAAGGGTTTAAAATGATTTGTCATGGCTATTTTGTTTTTCACCCCCAATAAACCGGGCGGTTCATTAAAAATGTGGATTCTTTTGAGATTAAGTGAATTACATTTCCTGGTTGAGATCTTTTTTTTTCATTGGTTAGTCATAGGGAAATAACGGTCTCTTTTCTTGCAATAGGATGTTGAAACCAGCTAAACAAACTGGCATTTCAGTGAGTCACAGACCAGCAGAGCACATAAACATATCAGTGGTCTATTTATATGATCCCTGCCGTAAAGCAGACTGTTTCACCCCGTCGTCCTTGGAAAAATAGACTTCACTCTGCCCTGTATGGAAATCATACGTGCTTTGTCGACTTGCATTCATGGCTGCAGAGATAATCCCCTCATTTGGACATTTCCTCTGTAGAATATCTAGAATCATAAATCTGGTGAAGCTCCTCAATGTGAAGCGCAGCCAATCCGAGCAGGTGAAAGGGAATAAACGCGCACAAAAAAAAAAAAAAAAAAAAAAATAATCTATCCAATTAGGATGCTTTTACATTAATAAAACACTAGAAACAAAACCAGTTTAGGTGCGTTAGGGTTTTAATAACCCTTTCTTATTTAAACTATTTGTTTTTTGAGGAATTTAATAGAAATGAATAGATTTCTGTCAGATTTAAGGGAATAATAAAAAAAAAACGTTTCATTCAGAAGAATAAAAATCTTTTTATCTGCCATTTATTAAGTGATCGTCCTTTGGTCTGTAATTTGGGGCATTTTAGTAATCGGGGGCGCGCCTCCTCCCCAAAGCGCACCGCGATGAATGGCTTCAATGTCAAATAGGATCAAATGTTTAAAAAAAAAAAAAAATTCCTATTGTTTGAGACTTACAGATGGGTGAGTCTTGACTTGCTTCGCGACGACCGAGAACATGGACATGGTTGAGGGGTCTTGTAGCAACCAGCTGGTTTATAAAAATGTGCGGACAGGCGCGGAGCGCTGCTGCGGTTGTTTTTCTGCAGGCCTGAAGGAACGCTGCAGAGCCCCACACCCCCTCCTCTGCAGTCAGCCAATCCCAGCCTGATACACGAACCCCAGCATTACAGCGGCACAGTGCTACGGAAGAGGATGAGGGCCACTGGAAAAATTTAATAAATTAACCGGTTTTTAAATTTTATTTCAGTATAATATGAGAAAAAAATTCTTTTTTAGAATTCTGATTTTAATCTCAAAATTCTGCCTTTTTTCTCAGAATTCTGACTTTTTTCTCAGAATTCTGCCCTTTTTCTTAGAATTCTGATTTTAATCTCAGAATTCTGACTTTTTTTCTCACAATTCTGACTTTAATCTCAAAATTCTGCCCTTTTCTCCGAATTCTGATTTTAATCTCAGAATTCTGCCTTTTTTTCTCATAATTCTGACTTTTTTCTGAGAATTCTGCCCTTTTTCTTAGAATTCTGATTTTAATCTCAGAATTCTGACTTTTTTTCTCAGAATTCTGACTTAAATCTCAAAATTCTGACTTTTTCTCTGAATTCTGATTTTAATCTCAGAATTCTGATTTTAATCTCAGAATTCTGACTTTTTTCTCAAAATTCTTATCTCACAATTCTGACCTTAATCTCAAAATTCTGCCTTTTTCTCCGAATTCTGATTTTAATCTCAGAATTCTTCCTTTTTTCTCAGAATTATGACTTTAATCTCAGAATTCTGACTGAATTCTGACAGCTAACAAACATGTTAGCATCAACCCGTGTTTGTTTTAGAGACTAAACTAGCTCTCTTGTTTTAATCACCTTCTGCTCTTCCATTAATGAAATAGCATCACAGGGGAACCCTCGTGTCCCCTAAATTAAAATCGCCTAATTCAATCTTTTTCCACCAATGTGTTACTGGCCCGCCCAAACAACTCACATCTTTGTCAGTGAAGCTGTGTGCTCCTGCATCTCTTCCTTCATGGTGCACATCTACATTAAGATCCGAAATTCGGAGATTAAAGTCAAAATTGTGAGAAAAATGTAAAGCACTTTGAATTGTCCTTGTAAAGAATTTTGTCCTTGTCAGAATTCTGACTTTAATCTCAAATTTTGCTATACAAATAAACTTGTCTTCTTTCACTTTTTTTTATGAAAACCAAAACATTTAGTCAGAAAGCTGGAAATGCAAAACTGGATTGCCTTTACACATCACTTTTAAAACTGTGGAAAAACAAACAGTTAAAAAACGCATTTAGTAGACAAGAGAAGAAGGAATTATGAAATGGCATTTAAATCGCAATTTCACTGCTCAAATTGAGCACATGCCAGCAGAGGGCAGCAATGAGTCAGTTTGTCTAAACCTCCTGCTAAACTTTTCTTCATGCAAATATACCAGTCTCAATTTTACATTAATATATAAAGGAGGTCAAAAGCAATTAGAGAAATGACACATAAGGTTTATTGTCACAATATATTTATGTGGACCAAACCTGAGAGAACAGCACATTCCCAACATCCAAAAAGACGAAATAAACATTTTGTATGATGGAAAACAGGTTTGTAAAATACGCTGAAATAACAGGTTGGTCAGATCAATCAACTTTCAATCCCCATCCTCTCTCTCACACAAACGCACAAATCTATAAGACAGCACATCAAAAAACAAGTGAAGGGGGGAAAATCCTCTCCTGGAAGTGCATAAAACTCCACCCGATGATGAAACACCAACAGAACAAAACTACAAATAACAGAAGTTCATTTTTTTTTTTAGCTTATGCTGCAGGTAACTAATAACGAAATAAAAAACACACTTTACTATCATCAGAAAGAAATGCAAACAAATGTAATATGTAAAAAACAAACAACAAAACAATTGCAACTCAAAAGGTAGCAGTTCAATTTGTGCAAACATGTCTACCAGAAATAAAACTAGTTGATCGACTTGTCAGCTTGGCAGAACAAAAACATAACTGAGCAAACATTAAAGAGACATCTATACCACTAAAACTGGTTAGGTAGTCAACTAGGCTTTGGAACATCAAAACTATCAACATAGCATCAATAATAATACATCTAGAAAATGAAAAAATAATGTTTTTATCAACTAACTCATATTTTTTTTTCTTTTACATAAACTGTAAAACAAGAACGCATGGCCTGAAGTTATTTGGCATAAATGTTTCCAGATCTAACGTAAATTTCCCTTCAGTCTATCATAAAAAAAAAGAAAACTCGACTTCATTGTCTTCTCTTGAATCAAGCAAAGATTACCGGCTGATTTGTCATGCACTAGCAACAGGTGCAACACAGAGTTACACTTAAATATATTTGAATACTTAAAAAGCAAGAAAACTCCTTTTAACAACAGGTCGGTGTTTTCATGAGAGCTACTCTCCGGTTTGGACAGAAATCAGGAAACAACATATTCTTTGGGGGGAAAAAAGGGGAATCTATGCAGGAAATGAGTGACTAATTATCCAACAAAGCCTAAAGATCAAGGCTTCATTTCCAGTATTTTCGGTCAATAAATCAAATTTCAATGGGAGCAGTTCATGGGAAGAAAAACTGTAGCTTATAAAGTATTTTCTTTTCGTTACAATGGATCTCAAGTGTACATATCCCGGTTAAAATGTCAGGTTTTTGTTATGAAAAAAACTGAAATTTCTGATAATTTGCTCCATTTCTCCCCACTTTTAATGTAACATAATCCACGCAGTTTAACTTTGAAAAAGAAAAACTATTTGTTGGAGGGAAGAAAAAAAAAGAACTATAACCTAGATCAATAAGTGTGCACTCTTCTAAACTAATACAAAGTTGTAGCATATTTGGTTTAATTACAGCTTTCAGTCTTTGAGTTTAAAATCCAGCATCAAATCCAGCGAATCTGTTTAAACCTCACATACAGTTCTGCTCTTGGTGGGAATTTCCTGATATTGACGTCCATTTATTACCAAGAAAAGGATCTGACTGCACAAAGCTGGTAATCAGAAGGTTAAGAAACAGGATTTATAGCAATAAATTAGGAAACATTTCAGAAAATGTCCCAAAATATGTCAAAAACACTAAATGGAAACTGATTAGGGAAGCTACTATCTGGTTAACAGTGACAAAGTATTTTTATCAAAAAACTTCAGGATTTTTGAAAATAAAGCTCCTAAGTTAAAGCGATCTTTTAAATATACTAAAATATATATTCTAAATTGATGTAATATGAATGTTAAGAAAAGGCAGAAGAGAAATACAGATTTTACTCTGTGGAGGAGCTGTGGATTAGGGTGATGGCCAGGAGGCCCTCCAACACCAAGGTACTGATCAACAATAATAGCAATAAAGATTTTCCAATGATTTTTGAGAAGCTCGTATATTTTATATACAATCTCCAGTAAATGGACACCAATAATTTATTTACATAAAATCCTTTCAGATTATTTTAATTTTATTTTTATTTGTCTCATTAAAAAAAGCAACTTGGTTTTATGTGGAGACTTGAAATCAGAGTCAGCCAGGGACATTAATCATTTTTGGATCGACTTTGCATTCATAAGTCAAGAAAAGAATTAGAAGAGAGAAAAGTTTGAGTTTTCAAATGACAAAGACCTAAAGTCCAGAACTGGATCTGGCTAAAAATAATCGGTAAAGCTTGAGGAGAGGACTTAATCTGACTGAATTGGAGACATTTCTTTCCTAGTAGAGTGGCCAAATAGTTGTCATATAAATATGTGACATGTTTAGAAAATAGCCTCCGCCCTAAGAAAAGAAAAATCTGTGGTTGAATCCAAAACTGCTTCAAACTGTCAGTATAATGTGCACACTTATTCAAACAGGTTCCTGCGACTTCAACCCCCCGCCCCCACAACAGGTTTGGTTTGAGCTGAACTGTGTATGATATTTACCACATTAGAGAGAGAAAATGTTTTTAAACTCTGCATCATGGCCTCTGTTTTTACATAACAAAACCTTAAATCTTACCAGGAGGGTTACACTACTGAAACTCACTGCATACTTGTTCAACTCCCCGTTGAATAACAATGTTAGTAATGTCAAATAATTTTAAAATAAGAAACCTCCCTCCCCGAAAGAGCATTAAAAACATGCCTTTCCTCATCCAGTTAAACATTTGCATGGTCATTTTCACAGAAAAGAGCTGCAGCTACGTTTAGAAGGCGAGGCCTTCTCCCGAACCGTCACCCAGGACAGTGGAGGCTGCGGGCGGATCAGGAGAGGAAGCCCGGTTCCCAGACGAAGCAGTCTGGCAGGAGCTCAATCCTTGGCTTGAACAGTTTCCGACGGGAGAGACTGTGAGGCTGCGGATCAACATGTCCATGGAAGGAAACAGGGGCTTCAGGAGGCTGACAGGACAGAAGGCTGAGCCTCCATGGGGGGTGAAGTTCACCTTGTTGGGATCGGGGCAGGAGGAGACCAGGGCCTGTTTGTGCTGAAGTGGAATACTACAGAAGAAATTCAAATTTAGTCAAACTATTTGGATTCAAGAATGTATGAATGACCACAGGTTCCAATAAAACAAAAAGTATGTCCAACGTGCCTGGCAGAGACACTTTATATTTTCACTTTAAACAGGAAGCAATGAGTTTAGCTTCTGATACACATTAAGAAAAAAAATAAAAATAAAGACCAACATGAAACTGCAGCTTCAGAAAATTCATAAAAAGATCAAACATGTTTCATCTCAGTATTCATACTGAAGAAAACAAAAAGATAACCTGACAAATATTCTGAAGTTAAAAAGATTGAAACTTTTAACTGTCAATGATTCCTAATAAAAAACGTGTTAATTGAACTAGTTAAAATCTTAAAAAAAAAAAAAAAAAAAAAATCCTTTAACATAGTGATTGGGTGGATTGCAGATATTCATGGTTTCAATCTCAATGAAAAAACAACATTTTCAGATGGGAGATATGGAATAAATATCAATTACCGGTAGCTAAGATTCACCTTTTGGGAGGTTATTTAAATTGGCAAACTAAGAAAATGTGTCTTATCTTTCCTGAAAAAGAATAATTTGATCATTCAAGACCCAAAGTGTCAAAAACCTCTAAATTCGGCTTTTTGAACTGTTTGTATAAAACATTAACTGTTATGCCAACATTAAAAACCATCTGGACGATATAAAGCTCCACCTGGACAGAGAGCAAAATGAGAAGAAAGTACCTGAACTCCTCCCAGACTCGGACCTTCTCGCAGCCCTCTGGAGGCTCTCTCTGGAAGCAGAAACTTTTGTTGAGTCCTGGAGAGGTGGAGATTTGTGGTGGCAGAGGCAGCTCAGCCTCACTTTGGGAGGTCACTGGAGACACTAGACATTTCTCTGCTGAACCTGAAACAAAGAACAAAAACATCTTTTAATAGAAGAAAGCTGCAAATAATGTATTTTGTGTGCTAAGTTTTTAAGAATCATACAGAGACTGTATAAAGTGACATCAATAAACTAGCCTTGGTGAGGGTCCAGAGGAGCATCTAGAGAGTAAGGTTGAGGTGAGGAGGAAGGGGATGAGCAGCAGGAGGATGAGGACAAAGGTGTGGTGGCACAGTCGCTCTGTGAACCGCTGCTGCAGCTGTGCAGAGGGATGGGAGCACGGTGACCGTCTGGGACTTCAAGTAGCTGTTAGCATAGAAAACGACATACTGTACATCAGACACCTCTGTTCTTTAGCTGAGGAGAAAGAGTCAGAGAAAACCCAGCTTATCATCATGAACCTTTTCTGTGGATCTCAGGAAACGCTCACCTTATGCTGCGGAGGTGGAGACTGGCTGATGAACATGCCCTCCAGCTCCTGGTTGAGGCCCTCCACACTGCAGCGCAGTCGGGGGACGAGGGTAGAGAGCGGAGACACTGGGATGGGCACAGGCTGCGTCTGAGGAACCAAAATATTCATCTGATTTTAGCTTCTAAACTTGCAAAGGTGAAAATAAAGGCTTCTCTTAAAAGAGGTTTTTAAATCTTCTAAGAAATTTATTTATGAGCTTGGGTAAGGAGGTGGTGTTGAACATTATCTAAAAGTATAAGTTCACTTAAAATTACTTTTTTGACAGGGATCAGGACGGAGTCCCTAAACAGGGACTGGAGTTCGTAGCTGATGCAACATTCCAAAAGAGAGTTTTTTCTGCCATTAGACATGAGGCTAGCTGAAGCTAAGAACTGGATCATTAAAAATGACAAGCAACTCATGTCTTTCTGCATTAAGGAAGTTAAATGTAGCCGTGTTATAGAGAAGAGTGAGACAAAACTCCTTAAAAGCATTGGAACAGACCGAGTTACAGTATACAGAAGACCAGTTATTTTTGATAGCAATACTAGTTTGGCTTTTTTGTTGTTAGTATAAAGATAAATATTCTAGGGCTGCAACTAACAATTATTTTGCAAATCGAATAATCTGTTAATCATTTTTTTGATTTATCGCTTAATAATTGGCTAGCCAAAGGTTCCTTAAAGAATAATTTTTATGAAATTAAACCAGGTGAAATTTTTCCACCTGAGGGGTTCTGGATAGAACATATTGAGAGAAATAATTTTTTTCTTTTCTCTTAAATGTAAAATTTTTACAATCTCAATATAATAACTGCTCTAGGTAGGTCAGCTAAAGGCATGTTTTTTTGTTGGTAATTATTTAAATAATCGATAAATCACGATTAATCTGATTAATTGTTTCAGCCCTAAAATATTCTTTAATAAAACAACAAAAAACACTCCATAATGTTTGTTCTCTCATTATAAACATCCAAAAATCAAGAAGGTCAAAGGTTTAACACAAAGAAACAGGAGACAAGCCTTAATATTTCACATCAATACTGAAGATCACCTCTGAAGGCTTAAATATGGAATAAGGATTTATTTCAGCTCACTATCTAACTAGAATCCATCACAAAGAGTTGTGAAGCAGAAACGATTGTGAACTGTTAAAAAGTACCAAGGGATTTCAGAATGAATGGGACATTTTTACAGACAGCAGCATTGGAGTAGGGTCATCAAATGATCTGAATTGACATGTATTTGAATCATTAAATAGATTTTGGCAGCATGCACCAGGACTTAGATCATGACACAAAGCTGAACTCTGAGAAAATTCCCTGAAAGTCAAGGCTGGATTGTCAGCCACACCCTCCCGATTCCACAGTGATTACAACTGCTATGGATGCTGAGAAGAAAACTATGATCCAAAACAGGCCTCTCTGCACATTTATTTCTGAACTATGATCTAAAAAGGTTTAATGACAAAAAAACCTTAGAGAACAGTAACTGATACCAAGAGCCTTAGAGAATAAAACAACATTATGCAACGGCAAAACGGATTAACTGAGTCAGCAGATTGACCCCCCCCCCAAAAAAAAGGTGTTAGTAAAAGAAAAGCAAATAACACTGCTGAGAATCTTTGGACAGGAAGGTGTTTGAGGAGGTGCTAGGCTCATGTTAGCTCATTTCCTTTCTGTTCTAATACTTGTTGATATCTCGGCCCATATCGTGGTTTGATTGCGGTTTAAAAATAAATGTGGTGTGCAGATAGAAATCGTGTAAATAGCTTTTCTCCCGCACCAACAAGTGCTGTGCTTTAAATGGCCGACTACCATCATAAAGAGCTGTGATGTGTTTCAGAATCAATACAGACATGTGGCTCAAAATTGACCTCAATACACTATGAGGATTTTCTCCACCGTGGTCACAGACCTAAAAAAAAATAAATAAGGCGTGCATTTTACAAGATTAAATGACCAGCTGCGCACAAAAGCAGAACTATTGATTAGTTTTAGGAGAAGGAGCAGAAGCACATGTGATGTAGTGTCCTTCCTGTTGCTTCAGTGTTTTATTTCATTCACTTCCTGTAAATAGTTGCACAGCTAACTTATTTATTAGCCATCAGCAATATAAGTCTGGAAACAAGCAGCCATGGTAGAAGGTTATAAACTCTCTATGGGTCACTGTGTTTGTTTGGTAAGGATAGCGCTTAAGTACCTGAGTTGCTCCTAGGCTACAGCTCCCATGAGGATTATAACACTGACAATCTCTGTCATGCACCCCAGAGGCTGCAGGCTTGCTCCCCTGCTGCAGCTGTTGTTTTAGTTTAGCGATCTGCAAAACAACACAGGTTTCCACCAATCAGATTTATGCATACATACAGCATTAGTAACTTGATTGATGCATGAATAGTAGGTTGAAAAGAACATTTTTAAATATATTGAAACTAGATGCCAGTAGTGTGTAGGTGATGATTCAGATATGGAGAGAGCTGAGGTATAAGTGGAAATCAGAAAACAGGAAGTTCCCTAGCAGCAGATGAGATCATTGCTCAGTAAAGTAAAAAGGAGTGCTTTTTTTTGTTGTTTTAGGGGTTGGTGGGCATGAATAATTAGAAAATTAAATATTAGAAAGTCTGTCGGACAGTAAAGGTGAAAACTGACCTCTCGCAGATGCTCAGTACTGCCCCATGATGCTGAGCGTTTGTGGCTGCTGCCGTAGCTAGCTCGCCTTCTTTGGGACTTCTCCACCCATGAGTCTGGGGTCTAAAGAAAAATAAACAAAAAAAGATCTTTATGTAACCTTACACAGGTTCTAGCTATCATCATATATTCAGATTCTATTCAAAATCTCCCCAGAGTCAATTTTCAAATATCTAGTCTAGGTCTAATCTGTATCAATCTAGTCACAAAGATCAGGAGGTTTTACTTTAATTGAGACGTGATATTCAAACAGTTAACACCCACAGACAATCTTTTCACGCTTTTAAAAAGAGCAAAAGAGCCAAAGAAACTGAAAAAAAAAAACAGAAGGTGGAGGATGTGGGCAACCGAAAAGCAGTGGCGAGTCCCTGCACACAGAGCAGAGAGGATGGGTGCAGCCAAAACAGCCTCATCAGCTGACTTCAGTCACTGTTCTCAAGGCTGTGGTTCACACTTTGTAATAGCTGTGCAAGACATCGACACTCCCTCCCTCTTACTCTCTCACCCACCCTTCCTTGCACCCACCCAACGTCTTCAAGCAAACTCTTTCGTTGCACAAACTGCAGGGTAATAAGACATTTAATAAATAAAAACATGACTCGAGCAGATCAGTCATTTTTAAACACATAAAACTCTACATCGACTGTCTGTTCCTCTGGGAGCGAAGCTTCCTTTCAAACTTTCACAGATTAAAATGATTATTTCCACATTTTTTTCCATCCAGATCTGACCTGGGTTGATTTGTCTTTACAGGAAGGACTGCAAGGGCCTTCAGGCTGTTTGGGCCAGTGTCCCTGCAGGTAGGTCCCGATGATGGCGTCCAGGGACATCGTCCGCCTCATGCCTGAGCTCAGCTGGTGCAGTTTATTTTTTCCAACTACAAATTTGGCAGAAATAGACAATACACTTAATGAATTCTATCTAGCGTCAGGAATTATTGTATTCATTGAAATAAACAAAGTTATTACATCTTATTGTCTCTTTGAGGAGTAATGAGCACAATTTTGCAACAAGTTCAGACATAATGGCTTAACTTATAAAGTACAGCTCTTATAAGTGGACATATCCAAAACAACAAATCTATCTCATGATCAGCATTTAACTTAAATATTATTGAATACATTAATTATTAGTTTTATGGCTTAGATCAAAATCAGTTATTATTTAAATAATGTGATACTAGGATTGTTTTATTCTCATCAAGTTCATTATCGAAAACCAGCCCTTGCTTATTATTGGTCAATATATATGTGTATATATTACTTTCCATACTTTTCACTTATAAACACATACTTAATATTTTACAGTACTTTATATGTTCAGTATAAAAAGAATCACATTAACAGCATCAATTAAAATTTTAATAATCGATTATTTTTCATTTGATTGCATCTCAGACTGGATTGCTGCTTTTAAAAACTTTTTTTAGTGATTACCTGAAATAAATGACAAGTCATGCAGCATATTGATTCTAGTATTATATGAACATTCGACAGAAAACAAATTAATAGCAGATATTAGTGAATGTAAAGACCGTGAAAAGGGCTTTTTTTAAAATAAACCAACTTTAAAAAAGAAAAAGAAAAACGAATCCAAATTGGGAAAAAAAAAAAATCACCTGTAAAAAAATACATAAAAAAATTGCATAACATTACATTATTTTAAGACTTTTTATTGTTTTGTTTTAAGCTCTGTGTTATGTTTAAGGGTTTTTCTCCCATATGCAGAGTTGAACTTAGTTTTATTTTAATATTGGGATCTAGAATAACAGATAAGACTAATTAAAAATTAAATAATATCTTTAAGAACATATAAGTGCTATAAAAAAAGAATTTGAAACCCCAAACTTTCTGGAGTTAACCTTTTTTTTAATAATTCGTATCATCTGCTTTGAGGTAAAACAACCGTTTTGTTTTTGGGGGAGGGGGGAAATCATTTTAAATACTTTTGGATAAAATATAAAACACTTTTAAGAGTAACATATTTAACTTAGAAAGTTGAGTTAATTTTAAAGGGTACTATTGTAACTCATGTTGCTCTTCTTTAACCCTTTATAGGGCTAGTTACCGTTTTTTGATCACTTGCATACCCCTGAGAAATGGACCCCCCTGTCCCTCAGTGAGATCTAGAAGCACAAGATCTATATCCAGCCATTCAGCAAAAATATTGTTACATGGCTGTTTTTCTTATTTTGCATTTGACCAATTAGATGAGCCATTGAATGATATATTACCTACTGTAAATTGTAAATTAAGTTTGAAAAAAGAATAACAAGTCAAGAAAAAGAGGTAAAAAGCTCATCGAAAAGTTAGAAAGTAAAGATAAAGGGTTAATAAGCCTCAAAGGTTATGAGTTTTTCATGAATTTTTTATAGAAGCACTTTTGTTATTCTTCTTAATATATTCGGGCAAGTTGGCATTTCTAATTTTTACCATCAAAATATCCATATTTTTTGAATGTTACAAAGATAATAAGGTCTTGTCTTGGATTCCAATAACACACTACAAAAATGATCTAAAAATTAGTTTAAATGTCTTAAAATAAGTGTATTTAACCTTAATTTGAGTAGATAAATAAGTAAATCTCCCAGTGGAAGGAGCATTTTTAACCTTAAAATCAGATTATTTGATATTATGCACTTGAAAAGGGAGACTTCACTTCATTTTTCCTTATTTTAAATGTATTTTCTTTTTTATTTATTTAAAGTGTCTCACTTACCTGCTCAATTCAACTTCAACTCTCCTATTTTAAGAGAAAATTACTTAATTTATTGCCCTATGAAGGGTCTGACCCCTCTGAGTGACTGCAGACTGTAAACTGGTTTTTCCCATGTAGTGTAAACAGGTGTTCCGGATTCATACCTGATTTGCCATCCCTCTGGTTCGGTCTGGGTTTGCTGGCCAGCCTGAAGGGAACAGTCGCTTTGAGAGGCTGCGGACCCAGAGAAGCAGGCCGGGGATGTCCAGCTCCAACTCGGCCAGACATGTTTACGATAACCAGCTTGAAAAACCAGTAAAACAAACAACAAAAACTACCTAAAACTGGTCTCCCAGCTCCAGGGGATGGAAAATGACCGCTGCTCGTAGCTGGGCTAAAGTTTTACCAACTCTTCCTCTTGTAGTGATGATGATGATGGTTACCAGTAAACCGTTACAAACTTCTCCATAACCTCAGAGTGAATTCAACAACTGACTTCACTCAGCTCGAAATATAAACGTTTTATTGTGCAGAAGCTGGTGTTAGTTTTTTTGTTGTTGTTCTCTGAGTCGTTGGCGAGTTAGCAGCTTAGCAAAGCAAAGTTTCTTTGTGAGGATGTTGAGATATTTCAGCCCTCTCTCGAACGAGGAAGCAGCTCCAGCTTAAAAAAAAAAAGTCACTCATCCGTCTTTAAAGCTCATTCAGATGCCTTCTTTCATTATGTTCCCTTTTTCAGGCCGATGTGTGTTTTTTCACGGCCTTAAAAGTTGCAAAAGTAGACGTGGAAGCCTTCCCCCCCACATTCAACGTACTGATTTTAATGGCAAACTCTTCAAACACTTCCAACACAACCACGCTGGAGTGGTTTTAATTATGCCAAACAGAAAGGCAGCTCTAACTCCTGATTGGTAAGTGTGGACTTCCTCATGAATCCTATTGGTCAAACCCCTATCAATCCCTCAGGCCTCAAACAATAAAATTCGCTGACTCCGCCCCCTGCTCGTACGTAACGTCCTACTTTTTGAAACTCTCTTAATCCTAAATATCACATTGTTAGGGATGTTAATTCTCTGATTTACTAATATACAGCATTATAAATTATTATACTGTTTCCTAAAACACACAGCTATGCATACTAATCACGTTTCCCATTCATTTAAAGCTGTTTGTCAGACAAAGTTGAACATAAGCATGTTTATATATATTTAAAAAAAAGATTTTTATATATATATATATATATATATATATATATATATATATATATAGTTTGAACATCACATATTTGGCATTGTTTCCATGTTTTGTTTAAATCTATTTTTGTTCTTATTTAAAGGGAAGTTAAATTGGTAAACATATGTTAATGCCCATATCTCTCACACAAGGTGTAAGGGTTTCTCTCATCTGTGAATTCTGGAAATTCAATTCAGTTAATACTTTGAAATACTTTGAATTTCAAAAGAGAATTGAAGTAACATTATTTGTTTAAAGAAATAAATAAATAAATATATATATATATATATATATATATATATATATATATATATATAT